CCCGGCGCCCAGCCAGGCCGAGAGAAAGCGGCAGCAGCGCCTCGGTCTGTGCTGCTCTTCTCGGGCGGGCGGAATTTAGCTGGATTTCAGTCCTGCGAACCATCGGCTGTCTGTTGGGGGCTGCTGGCTAGACCACGTTTATGGGTTTTTATCTTTTTTTTTTTTTTTAAAAGAATTTGATAAGCATCAATCGATAGAAGCAGAGGGGAGGAGATAGAGGAATTCGCCCATTCATCTGGGGAGCATGTGCTTTGACAAATGCTTAGCCTGGAAAAAAGGGAGGGGAGCTGGGGGGCGGGGGGTGCGGAGCCAGGCGGGGTCGGGTGGTTCCAGCCGGACCCCTGCACCGCACCGTGCCCCGCAGCCGCTGTCATAGGAAGCCAATCTCAGCACCGAGCCGGCTTTCGTTTAACTGCCGGGTGTTGCATCTCAGCACCGTGGTTGGAAGTAGCGCGGTTGTAGTTAGCCAGAGGAACGGATAACCAGAGGTAACATTTCCCAAGTTCTGGGAGCTTGTACGCTGCACGGGCTTCCCTTCTGCAGCTGGCGAGTGCTCCAGGTTGTCTCCCCGGTGTTTGTGATAGCAGTGGAAACATCGTGGTGTTTGTCTCTCCTGTTGTCTCGAGGCACGCCTGATGGTAGCATAATCGGAGCTGGTTGGAGTCTCTGGAGGATGAACCTGCTTTTTTCCCCAGCTGGAGGAATCTCTCCGCAACTGCCTGGATTAGACGCTTTTCCAGAAAAGTCCGATCCCTCAGAACAGGCCGTTGGTGCAGAGGAAGTTCTGCGTGTGCCAGTGGTGATGAGGCAAATAGGTTTGTTCAAGCTCTGCTTGAACCGGTCGGTGTCACGTCCGTGGTTTGTGGCAGCAGCTTTCCTGAACCACAAGTAAAGCCTCGAGCGGCTCAAACCCTGCGATGGGCTAGTGTGTGAGGTCCCTCTGCCTGCGAGCTGGCCTGGCTGTCGTTAACCCCTAGAAATATTTCTCGTTAGAGGCTCTGCAGAACTTCAGGGCCTCCTTTCTGGTGATGTTTGTACAAAAAAAATCTGCTTTCGTCTCCATGTGAGTCAGTTATGTTGTGGCTCGGCAGCAGCTTTTCTGGACTCAAAAAGAGACTCGGGGAGGAGTTGGGGGTGTAAGATCTGACAGGTTAGTTAGGAGTTGGGGTGTTAGTTGGGGGAGCGTGCGGATAGCATCTGCACCTCCCTGTGTTCTTCTGGAAAATGCTCTAGGCTGGAGACGTCACGCTTGGGTGTTCTCACGGGCAGCAATTTAGGATTTTCCTTACCAAGTTCTCTCTTACCTCGTGCTTTGGGTTTGTTCTCTGGGCAACAAAACTCTGGATAGACCCTCGATATCATTACGGGTGTTATGTTCCAGCATCTGCCCCTTCACCCATCATCAGGATGCGGCAAGGCCGGGCAGTGGGTGAGAAGTTCATGCTGGCACGAAGCAAAACAAGCGTGACACAAGCAAATAATCTTTTTTTTTCCTTCCGTTTCTCTGCCTGGTGCCTGTGCGAACCCCTTTGCTGGCGGGCCGTGCAGAGAAACACCTTCCATGTGTCTGATACGGTGCAAGCTGAGTTTTCCCACACCGTCGTGGCACTGGGGCAGACTGGTGGGTCCCCGTTAGGGCCTCAGAGTGGGGTACTGGGGCTGCGGCTTTGGCGCTGCCCACGTGCCTCTGGGACCACGAGCTCTGCCTAGCACCGCTCTGAGAGTGAGCTGGAAAGTGGGTACCTGCCTGGGGAGCGAGAACGAGTGGCCAGGCTGACGTCGCGTGATGGAGAGCACAGGTCTGGAAGCAGACCTTTTCCTGATGTACGGGGTGTCGCTGAGGATGTGCCGAGTTGAATGTTAACGTGGGTGATATTAATGAATTCGCTGGAGCTTGACGCAGAGATTCCTGGAACATAATAGAGCATCATTATAAGCCCCTTTGCGTAACGCTGTCTTGTTCCGCAATGCCTTGGAGGACAGGGGGGGGTGGACATCAACCCCTGTTTTAACTGATCAGGTTTTAGACTCTTGACTATTCTCAAAGCGGTAAATCCACCTTTGAGAGGTGTGCGTTTCTCGCTGAGTGGGTGGGTTATCTAACCAGATAAAGGAAACCCGGTCCCGTCCCCAGAGAAGACCTCTGTGTGCGTGTGGTCTGCTCCCTGCCCTGAGCGTCCCGAATCACCTGCAAGCCGACGGCCCGGGCCGTGCTCCTGGAGGGCCGGCTGACAGCCGGCGTGGCGGCAGCTTCACGGTAAAGCCTCCTGGGGAGAGTGGGCTCGGTGGTTTCTGCTTCAGGTTAAACTAGCGTGGGGGTGTGCTAGCTTTGTGTGGCGTGAGCAGCCTTCACCCGAGTCCCTTCAAAGGTCTTCCTGTCCTTGCCGGCTGCTTCAGGAGGCTCTGAAGGCGTTTGCCTTCTCTTTTCCCCGTATTGGACTCCAGAAGGCTCTTTTGTGAACAGACACTCTCCAAACAGCAGGTAGAGGGCAGGCCCACCTCTCGGACCTGCTCGTTAGCACCCACGCGAGTGACGAGATGTGCTCCCGGCGGGGTGGTTCGTGTGCCCGAGCAGGTGTGTGATGGCCGCTCTCCACAGACCCGTCGCGATTTCGCGTGCTGCCCTGGACCCCAGGAGCTGCGCGGAACAACAGAAGCAGCCACAAGGAGAACGCTCCTGTGTTGTCGTGGGTAGCCGGGGCCCTCGTTGGCCATGGCTTTTTCTCCCGCCCGCTAGAAACGTGGAGTAGGTGAAGTCATCTCATGCAGCGAAACACTCCTGCCGAGAACGGCTACTG